TAATCCTCATCGCAGCTTCTTCGGTATGGTATGGTGGTGGCAAGATCCTTCGACGATTGCAACATCGGCGTACTCTCCATTTCGTATTGTCTTCTCCTTCTTCGCCTTGTGCCTTTTATCTTCAGCTTCAATATTATACTGCCCAGGACAATGAGATATATGGAAGATGAATATTCACTAGTTTTGCGGGAAAAGAATAAACATGTACTTGGATGCCACTTTAATTTGTTCAACACAGATTTAAATTGCAAATCGCAATTACTTACGAAACCTGGTCTTTCTTTAGAAAGCGAATTTTCTGGCTTGTGGGATGACTTAAGACTGTGGCCGAGGATGCTTGAAAGCATTGCTGATAATAGGATAAAGCAGACTGATATATTATTGGATTTCTTGTAGAATTTGAGCATGAGCAGATTGGATGTATTCTTTTTTTTCTCAGTAGCCTTTTGATCGAAACTCAAGAAAAGTCAAGTTGCCTTCATTTCTCAGTATTTTTTTCTTCTTCTCAGTTATATTTTGCGTCTTGAATTTCATAACAGATTCTTAAATTAAAGTTGCCTTTGATTCAATTATCAGGAAACGCATGTAAGAGGACACAGCCTGAGACGCTACTTGCTGTGTAGAACTGTCACAGTAGTTGCGTTACACTGCCATGTGCAAATTAAAATTTATGTGCCAATTATGATGAAATAACTTTTGTGATTTGGAATATAATCTTGTATCAAAATAAAGTTTTCTTTCAGTCTATAGCAAGTACATGAACGCCATGATGAAAGATCAAAATTGGCAATATATAACACAACCTAAACAAAATGAGCCCCAGACCTGATGATTTGAAATGTGCAACTACAGATGAACATAATACAACTCTATAATGCATCATGCTCATCTTCAAAACCTCTCTCTAACAAAAATTGTTACAAGACAACTCAAACGGATTAATCATATTTTCATCGAGTACAAAACTGTCCATCACATACTTCACATATCAAAATGCGATGCATGGTGAATACACATATACCACTGCCCATCAACCCTCTCAAAGACATTCGTCGCAATCTGCTTTCCCCAACTACTACCTTTCGTCTTCACCACTTCCAAACAAGTGATATAACCAAAATCCCCTCTCACATGAACTTCAACATCTTTAAGCTCAATCTGAATAGGGAACTCATAATCAGCCCCCAAAACAAACTCCCAACTCCCTATCACCAATTCATAACCAGAAATTCTACTAGCTCCGGGATGAACAACATAAACGTTGTCTCCTTTTGCCCAAATAGATTGCATTGCTGCAAGATCTCCATTTCTGAAAGCATGGTAGAATTTAGAATTGGCTGCAAGGACTGAGGTCTTGCTGTCTTCTTGAAGGAGACGGAGATTATCTCTGAGTTTTGCTGCAAGGGCGTAGTCTTCTTCTTTGATGGCTATCTCTAAGTCGTGTTGTAAAGTTTGCTCGTCTAAGATTAAGCCTTCTGTGCTAGGGTGTCCCTCTGCCTCACCGCTTTTGACTTTGGGTATCCATGAGGGGCTTCGAGTTTGGAGTACTGCACTGAGAAGAGGAAATTAGAATAGCTTCTATGAATACTTTTTAACTTACTCTAAGTCAAGAATATGTGCCTGCAATTCCCTTCTTTAGAAGCATTTTATAATATTGTGAGGAAAGAAAAGAAGGAAGTAAATTATTTTTTTACTTGTTTACTGAATAGGACTGAGAAAAAAATACAGAAAATGGAGGCCAGTTTGTGTCAAATAACTGAGTCATGTTCGACTAGAAGGTTGTCTAAGATTAAAAAAAAAGAACTGCATGTCTTTTTCTTCTATCGGTTATCTTCATTCTGCGAGAAATTAATTCAAACCGTGTGGTAATGCTAACCAGTAAAGAGTTGAGAGGATATTTGAACAAACTAGACTGGTTAAGTTGGTGGTGAAAAGAAAACAGTCCAACAACATGGTGAATTCAAAAAGTTCATGACGGCAATTCATGCATCAACAACAATAAATCTCAAATTATAGCTTATAAAAACCATGTAACTTTCTTTGATCTGTAAAGAAAGCTATAATGCTCATTAAGGATATGTAGAAAACCTACTTGAAGAAAATAAAAGCATGATCATAAAAATCAAGTTCGGATTGAAGAAATGTTCGTGGAAAATTGTTCACAGAAGAGCATCTAAAATTTACTATAACTAATGAAGTTATTGATGTATAGGATAAGTCGGATCTAAACAAAAGCATAATTTAGTGTTTGACACAAGTTTTGGTCATAGTGACGAGTTTTTAGCGTGTTAGAAAAGGAAATACTTGGTCTAAATCTAGAAATAAATATGCAATATTTCCAAGAAAAATCTCATGTATGGAAAATATGGAATTTTTGAAAAGCCAGTCTTATTTTGATTAGGTGATGTTGTTCAAGATGCATAAAGAACCTTTGATTTGACTGTTTGCCCGTGAGAAAGAAATATTGATTTATTTCAATTACTTTCTAGTCCATGTCCAAAGAATCAATTAAAATAAATTAGAGAATGAGTTCTTTCCGAGTAGAGAAGTTTAATGTATGATAATTTGAATAGGTTTCGGATTGATTTATTAGGAAGTTTTCGTTGGTTAAAGAGTTCCTGACCAGTTATTGATTCAGTTTTTTTTCTTCTTCTTTTGGTTATAGCCAAATTTAAATTTTACTTGAACTAGGAACCCGAGGCCTATACAAATTACAAAGGCATCTTGTGGTCATCTTTTGCTAGACTTGGCTTTAATAAAGTTTGTCCTAAATTTTCTTTCTTGGTCATGGATTCAAGATTTCTCATGGATTCCAACCTACCTTGGTTAAAGGTTTCAACTACAATAATTTCCTCAAACTTTCAACTATGTTAGAGCCATAGATAGGAGTGTCTTGAAATCTTTGTCACCAGGCACTGGACCCTTAACTTTGAAATCACGTCACTATGAGGTACTATTTCCGTGTTTATGAGTTACATTGGTTCCCATATTAAGAAGATAAATCATGCTTATATCAAGTTGAGAAAATTCCATTCACTTCAGAGTGAAGCTGATTGATGGAAAAATCCAATAATTTGGTGAGAAGTTGATTGATAGAGGAAAACCCAATCGCTGGCAACAAGTGGGCCAGTGGAAAATTTTAATCTCTTGGTGAGACAAATTGGTGATTATATGAGTTTTATCTTCAATAATAGAAGTCATCCCTGGTTATACACAGGGTGTAACTTAGTTATACGCACCTATAAAAATACATGTTCAGCCATCGATATTAGTGATTCAAGCAGTTCATTATGATGCATACATTCTAAATTTATGAGGATTCAATATTTCTAACCTACACATCTCATGACCAACAAGCGAACAGTCTGTAACAGTCTCAAAAGTACTATTTTGAGTTGCTTGAATTATAGGATGAAAAATTCCAAACCACGTGATTTCCAATCCACTCGGGTTTGCTTACGTCGAGAAAACAATGAACGGATTGTATTAACAATATAGATGGAGAATGTGCAGTTTTATAGGCTTATGTGACTAAGTTAGTTACACCTGTTAAAATATAAAAATATAATCCTTAATCCTCACCACAACTTCAGAATTTTGTTGTAATGGTTAAAAGGACTTAAGACACATGTTATCAGAGCAATCTAGGTCTAAATCCCACCGGCCACTTATTTAAAGTGGATTTTCTAAAAGCGCTGTGAGTCCATATTTCGGCTCATAAAAAGGGTGCCCAACTTGCGGTCGCATGTTAAAACGTAAAAATATAATCATCAACCGTCACCATAATTTTTGAGTTTTGGTGTAATGATTAAAGGGATGATGACAACACCCCTATCTATCCATACGTTACTGCTCTTGTCATTTATCTTAAATTAGCTAAATCAGCTACCTTACAGCAGAACTAAAGCTAGAAGCATCATTTCATTAATCAAATTGAAAATTGCGTAGAGTGAAAATTGGGCAGGAGCATTGTTAGGTAACTTTAAAAAATGATATTCCATGTAGCATGGTTAGGCCTAGTTGCTCCATATTTTCACACTGAAGTGAGGACCTGTCAATATCCGGTTAATTCTTCAAAAAAACACCATTGACTCCAATAAGACAAGGTTCCTATCTCTCTTAGAAAAAAATTAAGTACAGATTTTAACGTTTTAGTACAACAAATTTTACTTCTTTCTCTATAGGACCGCTGATATGCTCAAAACGAGAATTTCCATCTAAACCAGCTACGCCGCCACCAAAATCAACCAATTTTATCAATCTTCGTGGGCTCAAAAGCATCATCGGACCTAAACTCTAAATTCTATGTTCAGACGGAGAAAGAAACAATATACAAACAACAAAGTTAAATTGAAATTTCCAGATCAAGAGAAACCCTAAACCTTACATCTCTTAAGAACCGGACGAAAGAAGACCGGAGTGGCCGCAGAGATCCGGCCGAGGCCCGGAGCGGCGTGTCCAGCGGCGGTGAAGCTCGACGGAGGAGCAGGTTTAGATCGCCGGAGGAGGGAGGCATCAGATCGAGGTGGGTATTTGGTAGAGAACGCTGCTGACGTCACAGCCGTAGCCGACGCGGCCATCGCTTCTGAAACTGGAGGTATTATATGCGGAGCCGTCTCTATGGATGAGCTTTTTGGTAACGAGGTTCTGTTTTTTCATCATTTCGATATTAGACCTTTACGATTTTCATATTTCGATATCAGTCCTCCACAGCATTGAAATTGCTATTAGATCCCCAAACCATACTTTTGTTTGGAATTAATCTCCCTGCTTAGCACCCGTTTAAATTCGGGGAATATTCATTCAACTTTAACTTTCTAGGATGGAATCATGCTAGTTATATCTATTTAAATATATTTTGGATTCGTCGATTCGATCGGTTTCAATGGCCAGAGAAGAGAGGACTCCGGTGTGGATTTTGGATTCACAGATGATTCTGAAACTGTTAAAAATCAGTGCAATGAGTAGCTTTGTGGTTTAAGTTTGCAAGCTAACATCAGAAATTTGCCATTAAGATAACTCGTGCTAACCGGAAGTTATGAAAAAAATTTAAATGAATACAAGTACGAACACCACAGTATTTGATTCTTTCGATTCGTTTCCATGGCTAGTTCGCGGCAGAGATTGATGGAAGAAGTTACAGTCACGTTCTCGAGAGCATCGCAAGAAAGAACAAGCTTGACAACAATACCCATCCCAGATTACAACAATGCTACACATCAAACTAAATATAACATGGAAACCTGTTGATAGCTATATAAACATATCCTTCCCTCTCTATTCAACACTTGACTCCACTTATATATATCTAGGAAACCCATAATTTATACATTGCATGCAACTGATCTAAAGTAGTTGATCTTAGGGACATTCTGTACATCTCCTTCAATTTCCCAGAATCTGCGGTTCTACACCAAGCTGAAGTCGAACCAATACCTCCACCTTTTGAACCTCCAGATAGTGAGGCAGATAGCATGCTCTTTAGCAGAGCCTGCAACTGGTTTAAAAATTTCACTTTGATATCCTCATTCAGCTCGCAACCTTTGTTCTCTTCAACTGCATGACGACCTTCCAGAAGATGCAGCAGAGCCGCTTCCAGCATCTGCGATTATAAATGATGTCATTAGTAGACAAATGTTGAAGAAAGCTTTTAGGACAGAATTTGGACCTGGATTTCCTCCTCGTTCTCCAAACAAATTAAAAAAAAACAGTTAATCGCAGATAGACATGTTGTAGTATCGCTGTTTTGCACTTGCTACCCCTATAATTTTTTTTACTGCAGTAGACCCTCTAGGTTAAATATTCTCATTTTTTGACCCTTGGTGAAATTTGGCAGATATTGCCTCTGGGTGCAATTAGTGAGTCTGAGGGTAATAAAAAAAAAGGAAAATAAAGAAAATAAAATTAATGCAGGTGTCAATCTGCAACAATGAAGCTGCAAGGATAGTAAGTTCGAAACAGCGATACTACGGGGGGTCTTTGTGAAAAATTGACAAACCATCCAACCCATTTATTAAATACGTCATGAGAGGAGGTATATCCGCAACAATGAAACAAGTATAGTAAGTACAGAACAACGATACTACAGAGGGTCTGCGAGCAATTAACCCTAAAATAATGATGTCATCCAAGTGGTTGAGTGACTTGAGTCCAGGTCCAGTTTTAGTTGGGACCTTGAAAACCAAAGTTTAACACAGCGACATTCAGTAACCATAATCAAGACTGCCATACTCTGTCTTTAGCCCCACTTGATGAATAATTACACCAAAGGATCAAAACGTAACAATGAATTCCGGAGTGTAGAATGTTTGCTTGAACATCACTTTATGAGAGCGAAAATTAGCCAGGAAGAAGTACAATAAAAAACCAACACACAGCTGCTTTCAGCGTAGAATTCAAATGATCTAAGATAGTTTAAGATGATGAGTGACCCAAAAAAAAAAGGAATCCTGCAACTTGAGCAGGTTATACCAACCTAACCAGTAACTCTTCAGGCAGGTTATCCAGCTAGTCTGTGTTCAGAGGAGCACCCTTTAACCAGAACAGAACCAGATTAGGTTTGGGGATATTGTCAAGACCCAGACCTGAAACCCATCTCCATCGTACATATATACATTATTACATAGACATAAAATATATAGACCTATGTGCATAAGTGCCAAGACATGCTGGCATGTGTGTGCTGATGTATTCGTGTTTCTCTATGTGCATGTCTA